CTCTTCTCTCAAGTCACAGGCGACAGGACGAGAGGAAATGGCCTCAAGTTGCCCCAGGGGAGGTTCAGGCTGGATATTAGGAAACATTTTTTCACGGAAAGGGTTCTCAGCCATTGGAATGGGCTGCCCAGGGAGGTGGTGGAGGCACCATCTCTGGAGGTGTTCAAAAGACGGGTTGATGTAGTGCTGGGAGGTCTGGTTTAGTGATGATGCTCCTTGTTTGTTGTGTGGGTGTCTATTTTTGTCAAAATTAGGTTGACGGTTGGACAAGATGATCTTTAAGGTCCCTTCCAACCTAGAAGACTCGATGATTCTCCTCTCGTTTCCTCTCTGCAGCCTCTCGTCCGTTCCCCACGGAGCCGGGAGGCACCAGAGCCCCCACTCGAACTGCTCGGGTTCTTCCAAACCTCTAGATTTTGGCTGTTTCTCCCACACCCCTGCAAAGAGCCGATTTGGGCCCAACTCTCCTACCTCTGCTCTGCAACAGACAGTTTCTAGTGGTGTTTTCTACCCCTGCCCGCACCTGCAGTAATTAATTTGCATAACGAAACGCCAGCTGGAGGGTTGGTTTGTGCCGGGGGGGGCTCCTGGCGTGTCAACAAAAATTAAATCCGAGGTGCTACTGCAAAAAAAAGCCCGTTTTGGTCCCAATTTCCTGGGAAATGAACTTCCCAAGCAGTGCCAACCCCTCAATTCCCCCCCCGTTCCCCCTGTCGGGAGGGGGCTGCGGGCTGCCCCGGGTCAGGGTCCCCCTGCCCGGTCCGGGGGGGGGCGGCGCCGGTCGCGATCCCTGCGGCCGTTCCCGGGATGGTGCCGTTATTTCCGGGGGCGGCGGTTCCCCCCGGTCCGGCCCCGCCGCGTCATCCAACGTCCGCCGCCCTCCCGGCCAGCCGGGCCCGGAGCTGCCGGGGGGGATAACGGAGAGCCCGGGGGGGTAACGGGGCACCGGGGGGGGTAACGGAGCACCGGGGGGGGCTGCGGGCGGCGGAGGGCGCGGGGCGGGC